ACACACACACACACACACACACACACACACACACACACACACACACACACACGCGAGCCCGTCGTGGGGTTCATTTGATTTTTGCTCATCCTATCGATGAAAGTAGTGTGAGGTCAACTGCGGGGGTGAAGATTCATAGAGTATGAAAGCAAAGCGTTTTCATGCACAACATCACTCACGCAACATCGAACGTGAGACAAAAAACGTCGAATATTACAGAGTAGCACAATACAGGTATGGCGTCCCCGACGCCGCGTTTCGACACCAGCCACGGTGTCTCTTCAGGGCGTTCCCTCCGACCTTTTTCACCTTACAAATCCATCCTTCCCCATACCCACTCCCGTTCTCACGTAGCGCCAACATCCGAATGCTGGCGTTCCGCGAGATACGTTCGACCTGTAGAAGAAGTAATCAGACGGGCGCTCTGTATTTATGTATCCGGAACAATCGAAAACCCAAACAGACCATGCCTTGGCCCTGTGTGTTAGCACAATGTCAGGCCTTCCCATACAATCCTGTGAAAAGTCCTAACAGTTCTAAGCCTTCCCGATCAATCCAAAACAGTCCTAAAAGTTCTAACTATCGAAGTAATCAAACATTCAGACCCGGGCATCGAGGCCCGGTAGATTACGCACAAATGGTTCCGGAAAAAATAGAAAAAAAACAGAAAAAACAGACAAATCCAGGCATCGAAACCCAGCTAACACAGGTCCCTGTCGGAACAACCCAAAAGGCCCTAACAATTCTAACTATCGAAGTAATCAAACATGCAGCCCCGGGAATCGAGGCCCGGTAGATACAAGTCTCACGCACAAATGGTTACGGGAAACAAGGCAAAAAAAACGGAAAAACAGACAAATACATGCATCGAAACCCAGCTAACACAGGTCCCTGTCGGCATAATGCTTTACCATGCAGATTCAAGTGCCTGCTTACACTACAAGATTACTACTTCAATCCAAAGAATCATCAAAACACAAAGTCAGACTACAGTACATGTCACCAGTATCAGGTCTATACCGCTACTAAGAAAAGTGAGACATCAACGCTGCTGTGTATTCCTAAATCTCGTATCGGCATCTGGCGAATCTCGTTAGGACTCGCATGAAGAATCTATGTGGGAAACCCTTCAACCTCAATTCCTTCTTCAAGCTCAGGATTCTGAAGGGTATCTCAGAGCGTATCGAGGTGTTCTGGTCAATGCGATGTAGGTAGCTCCCTACGATCGCACTCTTCTGTCTTTTACATCCCCATGATTGAAAAGATTGACCAGTTTCAATCTCCAGTGTTTCGTCCTTCCACATGCTCACCTCGTTTTTCGACATCTGCACGCATCCGGCATACGGATAGGTACTGCCTACGTGTACTCTGCATCCCAGGAAATCAAAACTTCCAGAGCCATCATCAGTTCGCTTCAGACACATATTATTCGGATAGCAGTCCTCAAACTCCTGCTGCACTGCCTTCACCTCCTGTGGTCGCATCCCACATATAATCAACACCACGTCGTCAATCAATCTGACCCCAAACACATTCCTCCTACGCACTCCCAAGCTTCCTAAAAACTTGTACTCCGCATATGCACACATGATACATGCCAGGGGYGGACTTGTGCTCTTCCCCATGGGGATGCCGATGTCCTGTTTCAAAAGTACCCCTGTGGCATATGTGTACGTGTGTCGAAGCTCGAGGCACACAAATTGCACAATACCTCGGATCTCAATCTTTCTCTAGTGATCACCCCCTGTCGTCAAGCCGAAACTGCATCCTTTTCCTCTGCTATTCACTYGTACGAAATCCCTGCCTTTTCCACTGTGGTACGAGGAGATCCAATCGACGGCGTCCATAATGTCCTTATGAGGTAACCGGCTAAACATCTCCTTGATGTCATATGACATCGCGTTCACGCCGTATCCTCTCTCCCTCCCCGCAATCTTACGATTGWCTTTTGTAAGGCGGTCTACCAAAAAAGACACGCTTTGTAGATTGAAATGCCACTCTCTGGGCAGAGAGAAAAACAGGTGATTAAGGGCTTTTGCAACCAGGCGCCCAGTCTTCACCAACGGCTCATTGAAGGTCAGACAAATGGGTCTCTATATGGTGACGTCCTTCTGTTTTGGCAACACATACGCAGACCCCAGTTTTCCTTTCCTATCCCATCTGGCCATGCGCTTCAACCCCATCGTCTGCATTTCTGCTTCCATTCCCTCAAGCACATCTTTCCCCGGTCTGGATACAACACTGTAACCTTCATTCATCACGAAGGTGGACATCATCGCTTGGAAATAAATCTTAGGGCACATCACCAATGTTTCGCCTGGATTCCGATCGAGCGGTGTGCACGCCAATCCATGCAACTGCCTCTTCACTTCCAAAACATCAGTAAGGGTGAGATAAGACACACTTACTCACAAAGCATCGGTCCAATGCAGCCATATCCACGTTAACCTGCTGATCGCGATAGTTCAAACTACAGTTAAAGCTCGTCACAATTTCGGGATGGAGCAGTGAAGTCCTATCACAGACATCCGGCATAGGAATGTTCTTAGCGTTAGCAATCAAGGGTAACTTATCGCACAACGCGCTGAGGCGTACGCACACGTGACCTTCCACACGAGGGAAAGGTAAATCTACACAGCTGCAGATTAGCACTTCACAAGCGGCATATCGTCGCTGGTTGTGCAACCAACGGACTGGTTCTTAGCCCTGACGAGACGGACCTTCTTACGTGCGCGAGGCAACTCACAATCCATGATCATATCATTCATCACCTTCCTAAGCTCAGAAAGCTTAATCCTGTCATCAAACTTCACTCTAACAACCAGGTCAGCGCTAAGGCTTAACTTGAATCGATCCTTGAACACTCTCTGTAACAACCTACGTAGGTACTTGCGAGTCGATTTTCGGCTAAAGTCTCTTATCACTGCATATAACCGTAAGATTGACCGCATACTCCAACTGTACACATCCTTTAGCTTACGAGGGTTATTAAGTATACCAATCAACACCAGCTTTATTGCCTTGCATCTAGGCTTCCAAATTCTCAGGTGGGTGAACCGAAAGAATCCTCCCTCTTGGAAGTAGCTCTTCGCAGATTTTAGAGGTAAGGTCAGTCCATCAATCTCAACGACACTTTCGCCAAACATTCTCCTAATCTTTCTTCAGGGTGTATACCAAGTGTTTCCTCCATCACATTGAAGGTCAAGTTCGGTACATCCCTTGGACGAGCATTTCGACAAAAAATCACAGAGATTAACAAATATCTCATCCTGTTCCCTACTCGTGAATCTAATCGGTTGCACATCGCTATGAGATTTTGACTCCTGCGGATTGGATTTCCGTCTTTCTCTCGCTCCTTTCCTCGTACGCTTCTTCTTCTCGACTCCCTTCTTAAGTCCGACTGTATTTAGAACAGGTGACCACTGCCTAATGTACACATGCTCCAAATTCAGCAGCTCATTTCCCTTGATAGTATCGACGGGGATCAAAGTGTAATTCCGGGATCCGAAACAGCCAATCCAACGATGAAAGTGAGTTGGTGTCTTGTGCTTACTAGCGTACAAGTGTTCCCCCCATCGTACATCAACATCCCGACATGTTTTCCCGACATATTGCGCTCGACAGAAAGGGGACACTGCAACATATACAACGTTTCTCAGATGCAAGAACTCAAAGCCAAATAGCTCGTACAGCCGTAACCAAGCAGATATACACTTCCTATTCCACCGAATGCATCCAACAACAGACAGTCGGACAACGATCATGTGGAACAACAATTCGAACTTACGGTCAATCTTATCAAGCTTACCACGTACATCAACCAAAATCTGGCAAAGCCTCCAATACTCGGATATACCGAAAACGCATCACTCGTCAACATCCTCGGCAACTCCCTCGTTGCCTTCAACAACTTCCGTCCCCCCGACATCGTCAATATCCTGCTTACTCTCAACTTGTCCATCGTCTTCGTGGTCGGTACCATAGGCGGTGTAAGCCCTATGCCCCGCCAAATCAAAGATCGCATCGATCTTACCTCTATACTGAATCCCTTCCTCGAAGCAAAGGTTCTGCAGAGTGATCGCGTCATGATCCTTGAGTAGTCGCATCACCTCCTCCCTGAGCTTGTACCGGCCAATCTTGCAGGGATCTTCCGATTCACTGCTGACGTGATTCTGTCATTCGTTGCTGGGGAGAGTCTAACTTTTGCCTTGGTCTTCAGGCGGGTCAACCTTGGTGTAAGATTCACCAGTTTAAGGATCCCTCTCCACGGTGTACGCTTCGGTGTCCTTTTCGCCGGCAACTCCATGGGCGGGCTATCCTCGAAAACAAGTTCTGGCCCTCTCTTCCGCTTTTCATTAATACTTAGACCCTGCGGCCGTTCATAAATCTCCTCCGTATCACTACCTACAAATTCGTACTCGGAGAACTCCTCCTCAGGTACGTAGTTCAGTTTTTTCTTCCCCTTCATCTTCTCATGGAGCTTCGCGGCGACGATCGCCTCCCGGAACTTAGCGCAGGCTCCGCTGAGTGCTTCCTTCACAGTAAGTTTGACATGTAAATCTATATCCTTACGGATAGCCGCGACTCTCTCTTCCTCCTCCCGTGCTTTCTCAGCCTTCTTCTTCGCTTTCCGCTCCCTCGCTTCCTTTTCTTCCATGGCACGGCGCTCCGCTTCCTTTCTTTCGGCTTTTTTACGTGCCTTTGCCTCTTTCTTTGCGCATTCTGCTTTAATGTATTCGCACAATGTCGCCATGCTATCTCCGATGTCCTTCACTTGAGATTGCACCTCACGATCTTCCGAAGTAGAACCTCGGTATGATTACGTGGCGAATAAGATCTCCCTCGCCTGGAGTCCATGGAGCTGGACGGTCTTGCTTGTTGGGCCCCTCCCCAACCCGGTCTCGGGTTTCTGCATTACGTCGCATAATGTCCCTCTTCACCGCACGCGAAACAAATGAGTGGAGGCCTCCGCGGTCCTCTCTCCTGGTTGCCTCCATGGCCACCTCCGCTCTCTCGCTGATCATTCGACATAGTTACTCAACTCGTAACTGACGGGCTTCGCTTCTTCGTAACCTCAGTCTCGGTCAAACTTCAAAAACACCAGTCGTACAGGACGATTACATGCTCACCCCTTTCGGTAAAGCGACTTCGAAAGTGTTCACACGCGCAGTATGCAGATTCATAGAGTATGAAAGCAAAGCGTCTTCATGCATAACATCACTCACGCAACATCGGACATGAGACAAAAAACATCGAATATTAAGAGTAGCACAATACAGGTATGGCGTCTCCGACGCCGCGTTTCGACACCAGCCACGGTGTCTCTTCGGGGGGTTCCCTCCGGTCTTCTTCCCCTTACAAATCCATTCTTCCCCACACCCACTCCCGTTCTCACGTAGCGCCAACATCCGGATGCTGGCGTTCCGCGAGATACGTTCGACCTGTAGAAGAAGTAATCAGACGGACGCTCTGTATTTATGTATTCGGAACAATCGAAAAGCCAAACAGACCGTGCCTTGCAGCCTTGGCCCTCTGTGTTAGCACAGTGTCAGGCCTTCCCATAGTCCTAACAGTTCTAAGCCTTCCCGATCAATCTAAAACAGTCCTGACAGTTCAAACTATCGAAGTAATCAAACATGTAGACCCGGGCATCGAGGCCCGGTAAATTACGCATAAATGGTTCCGAAAAACAGGGCAAAAAAACAGGAAAAACAGACAAATCCAGGCATCGAAACCTAGCTAACACAGGTCCCTGTCGGAACAACCCAAAAGGCCCTAACAATTCTAACTATCGAAGTAATCAAACATGCAGCCCCGAGCATCGAGGCCCGGCAGATACAAGTCTCAAGCACAAATAGTTACGGAAAACAAGGCAAAAATCAGGAAAAACAGACAAATACAAGCATCGAAACCCAGCTAACACAGGTCCCTGTCCGCATAATGCTTTACCATGCAGATTCAAGTGTCTGCTTACACTACAAGATTACTACTTCAATCCAAAGAATCGTTAAAACACAAAGTCAGACTACATTACATGTCACCAGTATCAGGTCTATACCGGTACTAAGAAAAGTGAGACATCAACGTTGCTGTGTATTCCCAAATCTCGTCTCGACATCTGGCGAATCTCGTTAGGACTCGCATGAAGAATCTATGTGGGAAACCCTTCAGCCTCAATTCCTTCTTCAAGCTCAGGACTCTGAAGGGTATCTCAGAGCGTATCGAGGTGTTCTGGTCAATGCGATGTAGGTAGCTCCCTACGATCGCACTCTTCTGTCTTTTACATTCCCAGGATTAAAAAGATTGACGAGTTTGAATCTCCAGTGTTTCGTCCTTCCACATGCTCACCTCGTTTTTCGACATCTGCATGCATCCGGCATATGGATAGGTATTACCTACGTGTACTCTGCATCCCAGGAAATCAAAACTTCCAGAGCCATCATCAGTTCGCTTCAGACACAGATTATTCGGATAGCAGTCCTCAAACTCCTGCTGCACTGCCTTCGCCTCCTGTGGTCGCATCCCACATGTAATCAACACCACATCGTCAATCAATCTGACCCCAAACACATTCCTCCTACGCACTCCCAAGCTTCCTAAAAACTTGTACTCCGCATATGCACACATGATACATGCCAG